TTATTTGCAAATAAAAATTAGCTGTAAATTAGAGCTAATCATTGCAGTTTGAGGCGAAGCTGTTGAGTTCTAACTGAGAGATGACCCCAGGAAAAGACTAGTTTCCTTAGTTGCTTCACCAGGTTCTAGAATAGTGTTTCTCAGCCTTTGCACTATTGACATTTGAGACCAGACCATTCTTTGTGGTGGAAGGTGCCCTGTGCTTTGTCAAATGTTTAACAGCATCCTTGGATTCAACTCAGTAGATTCCAGAAGTACCCTCTCTTAGTTGTGATGATAAAAGTGTCTTCAGATATTGCTAATGTTTTCTGGAAGTGGGGAGCAGTGGGGCAAAATTATCTCTGGTTGGGAACCTCTGAGCTGGAATGTGGTCCTTAGCTTTGCAAGTCTAGATCCTGGGTTTTATCGGAGGAGTCAGAGAAAACTGGTTTTCTGGAATTAAGCTCAGGACCCTAATGCTTAATCCAGAATTTCAGTTTTTTAATATCTAGAGAAAAATAGCATGTATATTCCAGGCTGATTATTACTGTTTGAGGTTCTCCTCCGTTGTTGTCAAGACTATTGAAGATCAAATGGGATATAAACAAATAGCATGGTAAACACAACTCCTTGAGAGAATTTATTCATGCCATCATGGTGTCTGATAAAATTCCCATACTTCAAACCTAAAGAAATAATAATTATAGTCATGGTGTTCTTACATAGCATCTTCTGGACCCCAACTCGCAAATATCATGGTTCTACCACCATGAGAAGAGCAAATTAATAGAACTCTGTGTTCAATGATCTCATCTGTAAGAGAATAACATTAATATATATTAATAATATATATTAATAACATTAATATATCAACAAGGAAGGGTAAAGATTAATTACTATGTGTGGCAAGATTATACCTTCCTAGCACAGAGTGCTCTCTAAATGTATTTTAGTTATTGTTAGTTCTATAAGAATACCTACAATGTATCATTGTTAAATAAACATACAACAGATCGTAGGGGCAAGTATATGCTCATGGTAAAGAATAATAATGCCATGTAACCACCAAGGCCAACAACCAAAACTTCACCAACTATCTCAAGCCCACTGTGTGTCCTTCCGTTTTCCATATTACATGTCTTTCTCTTCACAAATGGAAAAAGTACCCCTTCTTTTGTTTTAATTCCACTCTTTTGAAGCTAAAAGTGGAACAATATTCTTAATTTATAGTTGGCAAAAACAAATGAACAATAAATATATGTTGTCTAGAGTGATTGCACCTGAGGCACGATATTCAAAACATTGATCTGAATCTACATAGTGGATTGTGAATTACAGTTAACCCCCCTTTTTATCACAGTTACACCTGTATGCTGAAAATGATTTTAAAAATCATTAGCCCTAGTAAACACACAAACCCACATATGTGCCCTCCTTGTAAATATGTAATGCACTCACTGTGTGTGCAAAGATACACACCACAGTTTTCACAGCATACTAAAACATTTTTGTTGTTGCCTGTCATTGGGCACAATCAGAATTCCCTTCCCCACTCCATGGGTTGTGTTTTTATGTCTGTACTCCTTATTCTTGAATTACAGCTGGATTGGCTGGCGTTAGTACTTAAGCTAGTCAATAGACATGCAGGAAATGTCTGTCTGTCGTAATGGTGAAAGAATTTAAGGTGTAGAATAAGAAAAAGTAGACTGAATGAAAATGAGACAATCTTGAAAAGTAAAATGCTTCCGCGGGCAAGTTCTGGGGAAAAGCATTCATGAACAAATTAGGTTCAGGCAAAATAAACTTAATAAAATTTCGGGTGAATCTAGATAATTCTTAGATTGATTTATTTTATTTAAATTAAATTGCTTAGTATTAAAACGTTTGGGACACCCTGTACAATTTTAACTTACAGAATGTATATGTTAAAATATCTTTCTGATTAGAGCAAAAATAGGAATAACTTAGAATATAAAAGACAAATGCTTTAGAGATGACACTGAATGAAGAATTGGCTGAATAAATTAAACGTATGGATTTCATGGTACACATGAGATGATTCTTATAGTTTCTCACTCTGTGCTTTATCTTTTAATATTAGAAGCAATATATGTGATACACATAAAAGACTAGGCAAATGATAAATATGTATGTACATTAATATCTATCTTTATGTACATATTGATATACGTGTAAATGTATGTGCATGTGTATGTTATATATTTTATATGAAACACTGTAATTATAAACCTCTGTGACTATGCGTCTGTTACCGGATGAAAGATTCTCCCTAGGGCCTAAAAGCTTGGAGGGTAACTCCTCCCTCCTCAGGCCAGGTCCCAAGGCTCAAGGCCAGTTGAGCCAGCGTGAGTGAACAAGAGAGCCGAAGCCAGAAGAGGGCTGGCCGGGAGATCGAGAGAGGCTGTCCGGGTACCACGTAGCAGTAACATCAGACTGGGACACATCCCATTTACAGGAGACTATAAAACGCCTGCCTTGCCTTCATTTGGCGCTGACGCCACTTTCGGCCTCAGCCCCTCTGCACCCAGGTGCTCATTAAGCCTGTAATCCCAGCACTTAGGGAGGCCAAGGAGGGCAAAGTGCCTGAGCTGGTGAAACCCTGACTCTACTTAGAAAAAAAAAAATTTAGCCAGGCGTGGGGGCGTGCACCCGTAGTCTCAGCTACTCGGGAGGCTGAGGCTGGAGAATCGCTTGAACCCAGGAGACGAAGGTTGCAGTGAGCAGAGATCTCTCCACTGCATTCCATCGTCGGTGACAGAGTGAGACTCTTTCTCAACTCCCCCCACCCCCCCCCAAAAAAACCAGTGTGTTGCTGCACACCATCTTGTGTTGTTAGCAGCGCTCTTGAGGTTTGAATGGATAATAGAACGTTGCACTGGAAAGGGGTCCCAGTGAACCCCAAGAAAGGGTTCTTGGATCTTGCACAAGAAAGAATTCAGGGCGACTGCACAGTGCAAAGCAAAAGCAAGTTTATTAAGAAAGTAAAGTGGTGAAGTACAGCTACTCCGTAGACAAGAGCAGGGCAGTCCTGAAGGTGAGAGAGGAGGACTGTGTCCACCCTAGGTACAAATAAAAGATCATGGGAAATGTGCTCTGCTACAAGGGTTTGTGATAAAGGTTGTATTTTCTTAATTACTATATTTTGCAAGAATCAATATTATCTTTAAAGCAAAGTTAGGAATGCTTTTGTTCCCAAGATATTGGGATATCGGGACAATCCCAGGTCTGGGTCTGTTTAGTTAACGTTATTAGTCTGTTCCATTAACCATAAACACTTAGAGGCTAGAATACCTAACTTTCTGCAAATGCAGCCCAGCAAGTCCCAGTCTCATTTTCCCAGCCCTCACTCAACATGGAGTCACTCTGATTCGAACACCTTTGACACTGCCTACCCCAAAATTAGAAGGTTCCATCGCATTAAAACTGTATACATTTTACGTTGATTCTGCTGGCCTCCCAAGGTAACCATGATCCTGAATTTTATCATTTTCATTTCTTTTTTAAAATGTTTTTTTAAAAACTCATATATGTCCTTAAACAACATACAGTATTACTTAGCTTTGCTTTTTAAGATCCTCAAAATTATCAACATTTTTCATATACTTTTATAATTTGATTTTGTTTTTCTCAAAAATGTCACTTCTAAGATCCAACTATTTTGTTTTATGTTGTTTGTTTTGCTGGTGTATGTTATCCTATGGTGAAAAGCACTATGTTTTATTTGTCTCGTCTTTGGCCATTGGATAGCTGTGTTGTTCATAATTTTTTTATTTTTGCTGTGATGAGCAACTTTGCTAGAAATTGTACACGTCTCCTGGTGCACAAATGCAGTCTCCTCTGTCTCAGTAGTTTTTTCTTTTCATGGGACACAAAATTATTAGTATTTGTATATCATCCTTGGGTAATAAGACAAAACTTGAGACCACTGGTTCCTCATAGGAGGACCTACATATATGAAAGGGACTGGTGGAACAGAGGGTATGGGAAAGTTCAAAGATACAGCTAATGACAAGTTGTTTTAATAAAAGTAGTTGCTCAAGCTTATACTCCCACGAGGAATGTGTCAGAGCTTCTCTTGGCCTACATTTTGCTAGTCTAATATCTGTAAATTAGCATCCTATTGTAGTCCAAGTTAACATCTCTTTTTGCTGATAAGTTGGAGGATCAATTTATATAGGGTCTGTGCTGTGAAGTCTGTTTGTTTTTTGAGACAGTCTCACTCCATCACCCAAGCTGGAGTGCAGTGGTGCGATCTCGGCTCACTGCAACCTCTGCTTCTCGGATGAAGTGATTATTGCCACAGCCTCCTTAGAAGCTCAGCCTACAGGCATGTGCCATCACGCCATGCTAATTTTTTATTTCTATTAGAGATGGGGTTTCACCATGTTTGCCAGGCTAGTCTTGAACTCCTGATCTCAAGTGATCCACTGGCCTCAGCCTCCCAAAGTGCTGGGAGTCCAGGCGTGAGCCACTGCTCTAGGCTGTGCTGTGAAGTCTGATCATGGCTTGTGCCATATTCGTTAACGTGTTTCATGATTTAAAGGTGGTTTTTGTTTTACTTTATTTTGCATTTTATTTTCCTTTATTTGGAATACTAATTGTATACTGGCATATAGGTTTTGCAAGCCCTTTCTCAATTTTGTAATTTTTCTTTTTAATTTATTTACAGTGTCTTTTGGAAACCTTGAGTATTTAATTTTTATACAGTTGAATTTGCAAATCTTATATGATGAGGCAGAATCTTTTCTACCGTAAGATATTGTATTATTATATGATTTTTAAAATATTTTCATATTGTCTTGTCTCTAAGTTCTTTTTCTTTTCTCATTGTTACTAGCCTTCTAGTAGAATAGCCCCTATAGGTAGTAGGCATATTTTTAAAGATTTTTAGATCCTAGTTTTGGATGATGTTGTTTTACTTTTTTGTTGTTTTGTCTACTGATTCCAGCAAAGCCGTCATCACTGTACTAACCCTAATATTGCATTGTTCCTCCTGGCAGATGACTGTGATGATCCTCTTGTGTCTGCCTTGCCTCAGGCATCCTTCAGCAGTTCCTCTGAGCTCTCTAGCAGTCATGGTCCTGGATTTGCACGACTGAATAGAAGAGACGGTAAGTCTGCTTTTCTTCTCTGACTGGTCCATAGAAAATCTCACTAATTTTTCATTCTCTTTGCATAAAATCATTATGAATGCTATATTGTAAAAGCAAATAAATTTCTAAATAAGTAAATGGTTAAAACTCATGAGATTTATATGACATCTAGCTTCTGTTCTGGAATATGAAAGGGATACATCATATATTAAAAAGAATTGAGTTCCTTCAATCTGACACGCTTTTTACATAGCTTACAAAATATTATTTTCTACAACAATATACACTCCTTGTGGACACATTAGTGATGACAACTTAATTGCCCTTCAATTTCAAGTTAAAGAAGTAATTTTCAAAAATGCTAATTATTTAAAAATAATAATCCCTCAGTGTTTTGGATTCTCAATGTGGTTGACATGATTTTCTTAACAGTTGAAGAATAGAAACACAGTAAAGTTTTCATGGTGCTGTAGGAGTACACAGCCAGGTGTGGTGGTTCGTGCCTATAGTGCCAACAATTTGGAAGGCTGAGGTGGGAAAATCACATGAGGCTAGGAGTTCAAGACCAGCCTGGGCAACACAGCAAGACATGTCTCTACAAAATTATAAACAACAAATTAGCCTGTGGTGCATGCCTGTAGTCCCAGATATTTGGGAGGCTGTAGCAGGAGGATCACTGAACCCAGAAGTTGGAGACTGCAGTGAGCTATGATTGTGCCACTGAACTAGAGCCTGGGTGACAGTGAGACCCTATCTCTCTCTCTTTTACACACACACACACAAACACACACACAGTTCATACATCTCTTAGTTTGTGTTTGATCACTTTAATATGTTAAAAGGAAACTGAAGATAATTAAATGGCACCTTGGTATAGAAATAAGACAGAATTTCAAAAATACTGTGTACTTAGAGGCAGAGTATCACTGTGATCTCTTTTCTTTTTTTTAATTTTTATTGCATTTTAGGTTTTGGGGTACATGTGCAGAACATGCAAGACAGTTGCATAGGTACACACATGGCAGTGTGTTTTGCTTCCTTTCTCCCCTTCACCCACATTTGGCATTTCTCCCCAGGCTATCCCTCCCCAGCTCCCCCCACCTCTGGCCCTCCACTTTTCCCCCCAATAGACCCCAGTGTTTAGTACTCCCCTCCCTGTGTCCATGTGTTCTCATTTTTCATCACCCGCCTATGAGTGAGAATATGTGGTATTTCATTTTCTTTTCTTGTGTCAGTTTGCTGAGAATGATATTCTCCAGATTCATCCATGTCCCTACAAACGGCACGAACTCATCATTTCTGATTGCTGCATAATATTCCATGGTGTATATGTGCCACATTTTCCCATTCCAGTCTATCATCAATGGGCATTTGGGTTAGTTCCAGGTCTTTGCTATTGTAAACAGTACTGCAATGAACATTCATGTGCATGTGTCCTTATAGTAGAACGATTTATAGTCCTTTGGATATATACCCAGTAATAGGATTGCTGGGTCAAATGGAATTTCTATTTCTAAGGCCTTGAGGAATCGCCACAGTGTCTTCCACAATGGTTGAACTAATTTGCACTCCCACCAACAGTGTAAAAGTGTTCCTTTTTCTCCACATCCTCTCCAGCATCTGTTGTCTCCAGATTTTTTGATGATCGCCATTCTAACTGGCGTGAGATGGTATCTCAATGTGGTTTTTATTTGCATCTCTCTAATGACCAGTGATGATGAGCATTTTTTCATATGATTGTTGGCCTCATATATGTCTTCTTTTGTGAAGTGTCTGTTCATATCCTTTGCCCATTTTTGAATGAGCTTGTTTGTTTTTTTCTTGTAAATCTGTTTGAGTTCTTTGTAAATTCTGGATATCAGCCCTTTGTCAGATGGGTAGACTGCGAAAATTTTTTCCCATTCTGTTGGTTGCCGATTCACTCTAGTGACTGTTTCTTTTGCCATGCAGAAGCTGTGGAGTGTCATTAGGTCCCATTTGTCTATTTTGGCTTTTGTTGTCAGTGCTTTTGGTGTTTTGTTCATGAAGTCCTTGCCTACTCCTATGTCCTGGATGGTTTTGCCTAGATTTCCTTCTAGGGTTTTTATGGTGCCTGGTCTTATGTTTAAGTCTTTAATCCATCTGGAGTTAATTTTGGTGTAAGGTGTCAGGAAGGGGTCCAGTTTCTGCTTTCTACACATGGCTAGCCAGTTTTCCCAGCACCATTTGTTGAACAGGGAATCCTTTCCCCATTCCTTGTTTTTGTCAGGTTTATCAAAGATTGTATGGTTGTAGCTATGTTGTGTTGCCTCTGATGCCTCCGTTCTGTTCCATTGATCTATATCTCTGTTTTGGTACCAGTACCATGCTGTTTGGATTACTGTAGACTTGTAGTATAGTTTGAAATCCGGTAGTGTGATGCCCCCCGCTGTGTTCTTTTTGCTTAGAATTGACTTGGCTATGCAGGCTCTCTTTTGGTTCCATATGAAGTTCATAGTGGTTTTTTCCAGTTCTGTGAAGAAAGTCAATGGGAGCTTGATGGGGATAGCGTTGATTCTGTAAATTACTTTGGGCAGTATAGCCATTTTCACAATATTAATTCTCCCTAACCATGAACATGGAATGTTTCTCCATCTGTTTGTGTCCTCTCTTATTTCGTTGAGCAGTGTTTTGTAGTTTTCCTTGAAGAGGTCCCTTACGTTCCTTGTGAGTTGTATTCCTTGGTATTTTATTCTTTTTGTAGCAATTGTGAATGGCAATTCGTTCTTGATTTGGCTCTCTTTAAGTCTGTTATTGGTGTAGAGGAATGCTTGTGATTTTTTCACATTGATTTTATATCCTGAGACTTTGCTGAAGTTGCTTATCAGTTTCAGGAGTTTTTGGGCTGAGGCGATGGGGTCTTCTAGGTATACTATCATGTCGTCTGCAAATAGATGCAATTTGGCTTCCACCTTTCCTATTTGAATACCCTTTATTTCTTTTTCTTGCCTGATTGCTCTGGCTAGAACTTCCAGTACTATACTGAATAGGAGTGGTGAAAGAGGGCATCCTTGTCTAGTGCTGGATTTCAAAGGGAATGCTTCCAGTTTTTGCCCATTCAGTATGATACTGGCTGTTGGTTTGTCGTAAATAGCTTTTATTACTTTGAGATACATTCCATCGATACCGAGTTAATTGAGGGTTTGTAGCATAAAGGGCTGTTCAATTTTGTCAAATGCCTTCTCTGCATCAATTGAGATAATCATGTGGTTTTTGTTTTTGGTTCTGTTTATGTGGTGAATTATGTTGATAGACTTGCGTATGTTGAACCAGCCTTCCATCCCCGGGATGAATCCTACTTGATCATGGTGAATAAGTTTTTTGATTTGCTGTTGCATTCGGCTTGCCAATATTTTATTGAAGATTTTTGCATCTATGTTCATCATGGATATGGGCCTGAAGTTTTCTTTTCTTGTTGGGTCTCTGCCGGGTTTTGGTATCAGGATGATGTTGGTCTCATAAAATGATTTGGGAAGGATTACCTCTTTTTGGATTATTTGGAATAGTTTCAGAAGGAATGGTACCAGCTCCTCCTTGTGTGTCTGGTAGAATTCGGCTTTGAACCCATCTGGACCTGGGCTTTTTTTGTGTTGTAGGCTCTTAATTGCTGCCTCGACTTCTGACCTTGTTATTGGTCTATTCATAGTTTCAGCTTCCTCCTGGTTTAGGCTTGGGAGGACACAGGAGTCCAGGAATTTATCCATTTCTTCCAGGTTTACTAGTTTATGTGCATAGAGTTGTTTGTAATATTCTCTGATGATGGTTTGAATTTCTGTGGAATCTGTGGTGGTTTCCCCTTTATCATTTCTATTGCATCTATTTGGTTGTTCTCTCTTTTCTTTTTAATCAATCTGGCTAGTGGTCTGTCTATTTTGTTGATCTTTTCAAAAAACCAGCTATTGGATTTATTGATTTTTTTGAAGGGTTTTTCGTGTCTCTATCTCCTTCAGTTCTGCTCTGATCTTAGTTATTTCTTGTCTTCTGCTGGGTTTTGAGTTTTTTTGATCTTGCTCCTCTAGCTCTTTCAATTTTGATGATAGGGTGTCAATTTTGGATCTCTCCATTCTCCTCATATGGACACTTATTGCTATATATTTTCCTCTAGAGACTGCTTTAAATGTGTCCCAGAGGTTCTGGCATGTTGTGTCTTCGTTATCATTGGTTTCAAAGAACTTCTTTATTTCTGCCTTCATTTCATTGTTTATCCAGTCAACATTTAAGAGCCAGTTGTTCAGTTTCCATGAAGCTGTGTGGTTCTGGGTTGGTTTCTGAATTCTGAGTTCTAACTTGATTGCACTATGGTCTGAGAGACTGTTTGTTATGATTTCAGTTGTTTTGCATTTGCTGAGGAGTGCTTTACTTCCAATTACGTGGTCAATTTTAGAGTAGGTGTGATGTGGTGCTGAGAAGAATGTATATTTTGTGAATTTGGGGTGGAGAGTTCTGTAGATGTTTATCAGGTTTGCTTGTTCCAGGTCTGAGTTCAAGCCCTGTATATCCTTGTTAATTTTCTGTCTGGTTGATCTGTCTAATATTGACAGTGGAGTGTTAAAATCTCCCACTATTATTGTGTGGGAGTCTAAGTCTCTTTGTAAGTCATTAAGAACTTGCCTTATGTATCTGGGTGCTCCTGTATTGGGTCTGTATATGTTTAGGATCGTTAGCTCTTGTTGTTGTATTGATCCTTTTGCCATTATGTAATGGCCTTCTTTGTCTCTTTTGATCTTTGTTGCTTTAAAGTCTATTTATCAGAGATGAGAATTGCAACTCCTGCTATTTTTGCTCTCCATTTGCTTGATAACTCTTCCTCCATCCCTTTATTTTGAGCCTTTGTGTATCCTTGCATGTGAGATGGGTTTCCTGGATACAGCACACTGATGGGTTTTGGTTTTTTATCCAATTTGCCAGTCTGTGTCTTTTGATTGGTGCATTTAGTCCATTTACATTTAGGGTTAATATTTTATGTGTGAATTTGATACTGCCATTTTGATGCTAGCTGG